AGTCGGGGCCCGGCGAGAGGCAGCAGGCGGAGACAGCTCGGCTCACTCTGGTCGCTGATTTCCCCTTCCCACAGAGCCGTCCTGAGGAAGGCCTCGGCTCTGGAGTATAAAATACAGCGGAGAGCACTTCGGAAGGAAGATTTTGTTAATTATATTCAGGTAGGCTTTAATGGTTTGCAGGGTGTGCTGACTCGCGTTGAAGATCCTGCTTAGGGATGAACTGGTTTTGTAGTTATCCACGCAGGAAACGGGCGGCTTCTTGAGGCCTTGCCCTGCCTGAACCTTGCTGTGTCCTCCTGAGAGGTTTATGGGCTTACGCTCTGTATTAAGCGACACCAGAGCATGAAGCATAGCCAGGAGTTGGTGCTTGAGTTTGAGATGAGAGACTTTTCTTCTTGTGACTTTTTCCTATCGTTTCTTCTCCCTTCTCACTTCAGACACCCCAGTTCCCTGGTGTGCTCTGCAAATTGTAATTGAGTGTAATTACGTTTTTTTTGTGGCATTAGAAGTTTGGTTTGTGTGTTATGATTCTGGGGTGCTAACAGCTCAAGTTTGAAATGTTATGTGCAGTACAAATACTCAAGTTTACTTTCAACCTTAGAAATGTAGTGAACTGGCTGAAAAACTGTTGTTTATGTTTTCCTGAGTGTGATTTTTATTGTCTGCCTGATTAGCCATAAAAATCTTGGTCTGTACTTCTTTTTGGTTGCTGTTACGTGTCTCCCTATTTGCTTTTAAATGTGTTGGTTTTTTTCCCTCCCCATTCTAGTATGAAATTAATCTGCTTGAACTGATCAAGAAAAGAAGAGCTGTAAGTTTGTCAATTATTTAGAGTGCAAAATACTTTCTGCCAAATTTTTTGTGGTAGTAAAACTAACACTCTTTTGTTTTCCAGCGCATTGGGTATTCATTTAAGAAGGATGAAATTGAGAACTCTATCCTGCATAGAGTCCATAGCCTCTTCAACCGTGCTACAGGGAAATGGAAGGTAAGTTTGTTTCTTTCATTTATACTCATTGATCGAAAAGCACCCTTTTGTATGTTGTAAAAATTCATCCAGTTACCACTGCTGCCAAATATTCGCAATGATACAGAAGAACGTAATAGGAAAACTTAAGTGGACGTTTGGTCTTGCAGTTAGCAGTACCCCAGAAGTAGATCATTCATATCAAGAGCCGTGTTTTGCCTTGTGAGTTTGGTCTGTCTGCTTGCAAGAACTAGAAACAGAATGAAGAGAACTTTCAGCTGCATTAGGAGAAAGATTGTCTTGATACATCTAATGGTAAAATCTAAATCAAGTGCCTCAGAAACTGTTACAGTGAGCTCTTGATTGAGTTCAGTATAACATAGATTTGATTGGAGACGATGGGAGGGTTGGTTTTCTTCTGCTGTTTTGCAGGAATTTGAAGATCTGGGGGAGGGAAGGGAATCTGAGATTCAGAATCACTTCTCTCTGTACCAAGGGTGTATTGTTTGCTTGTCAACATGCAGGTGATTTTGTGTTTGCCTTTTATTGTGAAGTTGATTCTCTCCCCCTTGCGTTTCCAACAGGAAGATATCCAGCTTTGGCTTTCACATGTTGCATTTTGCAAGCAGTGGGTGAGTTTTAAAAATGCTAATCTTACCTGATTTGAGACACTGGATTGGTGTTCAGACATCTGGAACTTGAATTACAAGGCAGGAGTACAAACTTTACTGCCATGTACTGGAATACTGAAATAATTTTGATGGTATTATTGGAGCTGCCTAGGATTTTCACTGATCTAAGTGTAGAATTGAACTCAGAATGGATTAGTATGAAATTCGATGCTTGCAGGTGGCAAAGGTGAGGCTGATTGCATTGAATCTGGAGTACTGTTTGGTTTGGGAGAATCATAATACTGGTTATAGTTTCTCTGGAATGAATGGATCACCTGGAAATGTGCTTTTGTTCCAAATGTTTCTGATAGTGGCTATGCTGAAGAGTGTGATTCTGGCAATTCTGTGCGTTGTAAGCTTACCTGTGCAAGTCTTCACATTATTCTTAACATTCAGTCGTTGTCCTTCCTGTACTCAAGAAGGTGACCTTGTCATAGCAATGCAAGTGGCCAAAAACATGCAGTCTTTATCTCAAAAATGTCATCATCAGTGAGACTATGGGTTTGCGACTTAGGCAACATTTGTGTTAGATATGTAGTTCAGAAAGGTTTGCTTTAACTACGCTAATTAGTCTGGTAGCATTTGAAAGCTGGTCATTACTGAAAAATATGAGAAATTTTCTGTTGAAGGTAAAGTAGCAGAGAAGTGCGTTCTCCAGTACAATTGCATTACAGCTTGTAACCTTTTATAATGAAATTTGGGTTCTGGTGCGTCAGTGGGTAAACCAAAACTACTTCTCTTACAGAATGCAAAACATCAGCTTAGCAAGGTGTTTTCTACCCTGCTGGCCATTCATCCCAATAAACCAGGTAAATAAAACAACAGCAAGTGCTACATAAATGACTCAGTATGGGTTGTATAGTGTTGGTTTAAGTTGTTACAGATGTCAGCTCAAGCTATTGAGCTAGAAGTTCCTACTCTCTTTTCTTTGCCTTGCTGCTGCATCAGAAAGAAGGGCTTTGACAGGGATTGTGCTGAGCAGTCACAAGGTGATGTGAAGTGGGAGTCCCCATGGTCTGAATGACAGTTTCCCAGGTAGACTGGGGACTAGGGAAGTGTTCCAGAGGTAGGAGATGTTGAATACTCATGGCTGCTTAGATCTGTCCATGGGAGATAATCAGTCTTACTCCATTGCTGAGCTCATGGATTATGTTGGGGGGGATACATGGAACAAAACCAACCTGTGCAACCTGCCTGGGGAGTAGCTGCAAGGTGGGCTCTCATGATGAGCCACTTCCTTGGCCTTAAAATTAATTTATTTGTGTCATCTGTTGCAGCACTGTGGATTATGGCAGCAAAATGGGAAATGGAGACTCGGCTCTCATCAGAAAGTGCTAGGCACTTGTTCCTTCGTGCTTTGCGCTTCCATCCAGAGTGCCCAAAACTTTATCAAGAAGTGAGTTCCTGATTTTCTTCAACCGGTTTCTTGATTGATCAGAGCAAATCAGTCCAGCATAGTCCTCAGACCAGTCTGAGAAAACTGGAAAAAAAATCTTGTCCCCTCATTGGGGGATGTTGTCAAAAAGATTTTTTAAAAACTACTTTGTACTGGTAGCATTTTTCAGTTGTTCAGTAAATCTTGTATTTGTATGCAAAGTGAAATTGTACTGTAAGCTCTACTGGGTCATAGTTCTCTGGATTAGATCTGGCATCCCTAGCCTTTGCTGTGGAACATGGTTTTATTTGAGGGCAAGGTATGTTATAAAGAATGATTAGGAAGTGGGAATTTCTACATGTGGGAAATAGCTGAGTAAATATGCAGGGCAGATAGGTGTATGCACGTACCTTTAACAACCAAGGCTTTTGGAAATACATGGAATGTTGGCAAAGTCATCCTCAGATAGAGCTTGTGGTGCTACATTTGTGGACATAGATGTTTTATGATTTATCTCCACCCCGACAATAATTCCATTTTGTTCTTTCTTGCAGTATTTCAGGATGGAGCTGATGCATGCTGAGAAACAAAGGAAGGAAAAGAAAGCATTTGAACAAGCGAAGATGGACTTGGTAGGTCAGCTAAACTTAAGAGATCTTGTCTGCTTGCATATCACACATTTGAATGCATCATTTCAAGAGATCTGTATTAATGGTTGGTTTGAGAACAACATAGAGAATACTTTTGTTCATGGCCTGTGCCTGTGCTGAGCTCTTCAAAACTGATATACATTGTTTTTTCTTTACGTTTGTGAAGTCTTTTGTTACATCACCCAATTTGAAAGTTAATAGTCATTTCTGGAAAGGAACGGTTAAACTTTTTCTCGCTCATTTCTTTATACTTGATTTGTACAAATTAGATAAATACAGATTTAGATGAAGAAAAGCATTAAGATTTTATTCTGATGTTTTTCCATGTTTGCAAGAATGGTAGCTGAGAAAGGAGAACGTTGTTTTTCAATAATGTTATGCTTGATATTGCAGGGGGAATTCAGTTATTCTGAAGAGATTCTCAATGGGGAAATGGCTCGCATAATCTACAGGGATGCTGCTCAGAAAATTAAAGGTGATTTTAACATTTCTTGTACTTAGTATGAAAACTGTCACCTTTAACTCAGCTATCCAGTAGGTAATACAGACAGACCTAGCTCTAGTGCACACACTAAGATATTTCCAACTATATATATATATATACTAGATAATGCTGAAGTATAAATTAATAGTGCTGATAGTTCTGGTTTCATAACGGCTCTGCAGGCTGACACTTCTTCCATTACAGCAGCTTTTGGGCTGAAGTGGCACAGGTGCTGGACTTAGTCTCAAAACTCGTTTGTTTAAAAAAACAAAGGGAAGATGGTTCAGAATTACACACCAGTTTTGCTTTGTTGTTTACTGAATATTAAATCACAGCTACTCAGCACTAGTGACAAAGAAGTAAGAATTCAGACTAATTGTAAAATGGGTTGGATGATTTTAAATTAACCAGGCTTGGTAACACTCACTTGTTTTATTGAGAGAACTGGGTAAAATAAGTGCCAAGTAGCAGCAGATATATTTGAGAAACAATGACAGATGGGGATATTTTAGAAGACAATGGGCAAAATAAAATAACAGCATTAAAAACTTGAAGTGGAAAAAGGACATTAAAGGAAATTACAGGAAGAGTTGGCGTAATTTGCAAAAATGCAAAGTGTGCAATGGATGTAATACTCCACTTGATAGCTTTTTTTTATCTTGAAACATAGGTGTTGAGTTCCATCTGGCTGTGCTTTCTATTGCAAAGCTCTTTGATTTTACCCAAGATTTGCAAAAAGAAATCCTTGAAAGGTGAGCTGTGGTTTTGTGTTTTGTTGGTTGGGGAATTTTTTTTTTATTTTAATAAACACATTCTTATAACTTCTCTAACTTCTAGGGAGTTGACAGGTTAACAACTAAAGGGTGTTCCTCTAGGGAAATAGAATAAGGCCTATGGAACTTCAGAAAAGGCTTTGAGAAGCTAAGAAAAATGTAGATAAAATACAGTTGTCACTGAATAATTGGTACATTTCTGTAAATTTACTGCAGGAACTGTGGATTTTCTTAGTTTAGTTCTTCTGCATCTGTAATTTCTCCAGTTGTTCCTCTCTAAAAAGAAAGAGTTCCTCCAAAAGATCTCTCTCAAAAGCTGCCTGTGTAGTTCATGCTATTAGTGGAGAATATGCATACTAAAAAACCCACCCAGAATAGACTAATATTTTGTCTTTCTCTTGTGGAAAGGTAACATGTTATTTTTTCCTCTGGCATTTGATTACTTAGAAATTAAATACATCTATATACCAATATAAGAACCCTTGTAAACATACTTGCAGAAGAATGGTGGGTATTGCAGCCATGGTGTGTTCAGTTTGCAGACCAAGTATGCTGATGATCCTCTTACGTGGGACTACATGGCCCGTCGTGAGCTGGAGCTGGGGTCCCTGCAGTCCACAGAACCCACCACGAAACAGATGAAAGTGTCTGAAATGACCCAGAGAGAGGAACGATGTTGTGCAGTCTTTGAAGAGGCTGTGAGAGCAGTCCCAACAGGTGAAAAACTCTGCTTGCATTTTAACATGATTTTTTCCTGGCATTTTAGCATACTGTATACTGTGAAAGCTTTGAAGTAGATGTTGGCAGGCTCTACCATACCAAAGAGAAGGCAGGCAGGTTTTAATTAAACCTTTTTGGAGATTTATTTTATGGGTTATTCGTGTTATTTTCCAGTGCATTGATGCTCTTGAAGGAGCTGCTTAACTGAGAGTGCTTTGTGTTGCTTGATTGCTTTCATTAATGTCATTTAACCAATGAGGAGAATAGAAGCCCACAGATGAGTAGAGGTTTGGGAGTTGTAAATAGAGAAAACTTCCTAAATAAAGCAAACCTGCAGAACTCAAGTATATTCCTGTTAGCTGTAAGTAAGCTGTGCTTTTGAGTTGCTAGTGGAGTGGATATCCAACTTCAACATCTGGCAACATTGTGGATATCCATCTTCAACACTGTCGTTACTCTCAGAGGAGGCTCTCAAGGGACTGTTGGTGGGGTGGCCTCAAACTCGCTGCTTTTACAGGCAAGGGTTTTCTTGACTGTGAGCCTGCCTCTAGCAGGCCCACTGAAAACTACAGGCAAAGGGTGCACCGAATGTTAATTGTGACAGCATGTGCTAAGCTAAAAGCTTGATGCTCTTTAGAAAGAGTTATTGACTGCAGCTGATACTAGCAAGCCATTATAAAATGTTAATGTTATAAATGTAGGGCCTCTTTTATAATACAGTATTTTAGAACAGAGTTGGATTCTTTGTATTCCTTAAAGACGAGTGTGTGCGCTTACTCTTGTGATTCTATAAAGTGATGTCATGCTTTTGGCTCTACAGAGGACATGTGGAAATGCTACATCACTTTTTGCGTAGAGAGATGTAACAGGAAAACCAACAGTGGAGAATTAAAGCAGAAGGTAAAAGCTTATTAGATAATCATAGTAACAAGTCATCACTGTTTTTACTGACTTCTGTAATCTTATCAGACAAGGAGCAAATGTACTTTGGCATTTTATTAGAAATACTTACCTGCAGCTGTCATTACAAATTTAGTCTGCATCTGAGGGGATCACTTTTTCTGTCAGGCTCGCATGTGACCTGCATGAAGATGAATGACTTGGGCATAAACTGGCCTTGTCAGTAAAGTACCGTGACCTCTTTGGATGGAGTGCAAACTTGCTGGTGTTTGCTGGCAGTTCTGCAAACCTGTGCCTGTTCAAAGAAAAGGATGAATTAAAATTACTCTTGCAAATAAGTCTGAGTAAAGTTTGGTGCTGGCGTGTGGGCACATTAATTATGCCTATATGCTTGAGTGTGACTCAGTGAATTAACTCTCATGTGCAGTTTGGTTGACTTTTAAGGCAGTAAAAAACAACCCCAATTGCTATGTCGTTCGTTTGTTCCTTAAGGAAGAGGTGTAATTCAAATGCTCAGATTTCCCTTTTATCTTGAAAGGTTTGCAGGTACCTAAAGCATTAGATAGGTAACTTTTCTTGAAATTCAGTGATGTGTTGGTAAGCTAATCCCCATGGCTTCTTGTAACGCTGGGTTCTGGTATATACAGGAATAATGTGTGTTTTCTTTACCTTTTCTTTGTTGGCTGTAGAGGCTGGAGAGGGCACTGAGTGTATTCAACAAAGCCCATGAATCCAGTTTGCTACCAGAAGCTCTCTACAAGCAGTGGGTAAGTGTTGACACAGAAAAATAGACTGTGAGCTGTCCCACATGGCTTGTGTGCCCCTCTTTACCATTTTGAGTAGATAGAAATGTGGGCAATACTGTGTTCAAGGCCTTGCTTTTTTAACACAGTGTTACAAATCTCTTGTGGTGATTAGCTGTATCTGCTGGGTTTTAGCTTCAACTATTACTGGAGTCCAGTCTCTTTGAGAAGGCTACGGAGGTGATGGAAGCTGCAACGAAGCGCTTCAGCCAGTCAGTGGAAATGTGGCAGATGAGGCTGCAGGTGCTGATGCAGCTGAAGAGTGATGGTGTGACCCAGTGTTTTGAAGAAGCTGTAAAGCATGTGAAATCTAAGGTCTGTGCTGGTTTTATGGACTTGAATATGTTAGTCTTGGGCAGGAAACCTCTGATATTTAGGAGTTTGTTTGGTTTTTTTAATTTTATTTTATAAGGCATTTAAAGTTCCTAACCATTTTTAAGGTAAAAAATAAGAACTTAACGTTTACATGCACATTGCATTCAGGAGCATGAAGGAATTGCAGATTCACTTCATATTCATGGTTTTAAAGTCTGAATGCCCACAGGTGAAATTTTGCATAATCTAGCAGTCAGCTAACATCCTTTGCGTGTGTCTTAAAAAATAAGTTTCCTTTACTGTCCTGACACATTGTGTGTGTGATGTTTCAAGCCTTGAATTAGCCATGTGATCTCTTACTGTTCCATTTCCAACCCTGGGCGCAAGGAGTGAGGAGAGGGAACAAGGAGGTGATTGTTGTTCTTCTTTCCCGTCTTTTCTTCTTTCCCTCTTGTTGTTTTCTGAAGTTACCTTTGCTGCAGTGTTTGGTGATGCAGAAGAACTTGTCTGTCAACCCTGGAACCCTGTCTTGCAGCTGTCCACTTAAGTAGTAGTTGTCCTGGAAGTGAGGAAGGAGACAAGAAGTTATTTCAGTGTGCAGTCCAAAGTTGTCTTTCTAAAAGCTATGTCTAGAGAACTTTTTTTTATAGCAGCTGTAATACAGAACCAGGTGGATGTGGTGGTGTCTGTTTCTGTAGATCAGAGTCACTGCATTTCAATAACTTGATTTTTCTGCTTACCTTGCAGGGTGCTTTGCCATTATGGACCCTCTGGGTGGAATGGAGTGAAGGCACAAACAGCAAGGAAGACACAGATGCTCTCTACCAGGTACTTAGCTAACAGAAAGTAACAGTGTGTAAATAAACAGGAACAATGTGTGTGGATGGAACATGTCACAGATGCTTTATACTGCAGTTCCTTTGTGGATGTGTTGATAGCAAAGAATTTCAAGTAAAACTCTGTTACCAAAAATCAGTTGGACATAGGCTCATAAGTACAAATGTCATCTCCATGCTTCTAAGACATCTAGATGTTTGTAAGCAGAAACAATGATGGACTTTTACTTTTCTTTTACTCTGTGGCCTAGAATTTTTGCGCTGTTTTCAGATGTCTGTCTGAAAATGGAAACGAGAATTTTCCAATCTGTGTGAAAAAAAACCAACAACCTTGTTACAGAAAGCTCAAGAACAAAACTGGGACTTTAATCTCACTAAATTCCCTAAATAGCTTAGGGCAAAACATTTCCTCTTTGCCTGGCATGTTGGGTTCTTTGTTTTTTGGGTGGTGGGGTTTTTTTTCCTATTTACAACATAAAACAGGTGGAAGCTTGAATTTGGTTGTTTGCAGAGGATTATGTACTGTCTGCATGAAGTACGTTAGGGAAATGCCAATTTCCAGCTGTATGGAATAATGGATAAGACATGTATTTTAGGTTGCAACTAATATTTTAATCTGAAAAACATTGGATTTGTTACCTAATACTATCTTTCAGACATCATTTGGGATGCATTTGTCCAGTACTTTGTCTAACTTTTGAGATCTGCTTTATGTCAGATGCCTAATTAGAGAGAAGGCACTACTTGGATTCTTCTCCCCTGTTGCCTTTTGATTGTGGTTTGGTTTATTTATTTTTGTTTTTTTTTTTTCCCCTTTTAAACTTGCAGAGATCCTTACGGGCCACAACTCCTGCTGAGTCTGTGACTATGAAAGAGAAGTATCTTGACTGGACTTACAGAAGCGGTGGTTATAAGAAAGTTAAAAGAGTCTTTACCAGGTGACAAATAAAACCTGAAAACCTGATTGTTCTAAGGCATACATTAAAAGACTTGAAGTCTAAAGTTTCTTATATTTTTACTTCAGCCTGTGTGAAAATCGTCCACTTTCACTTGACTTCTTCAGGAAGATGATCCAAATAGAAAAGGAGCAAGTAAGTTGTTAAATATCCAATTAATGCTGCGTAAAATACACTTCTAACTTGGGATTTAAATAGGAAAGAGGGGCTTATGAGTAGTGTTATTAGTTTGTAAGCAGTTCATATTTGTCTGCTAAAGTTGATTCATAGCATGTAATACAAAACTGAGTTCCATGGTAACTAATCTTTGGCAGTTCGCGTGTGCGTGTGTAATTACCATGACTTTTTCTTTGTAAAAATCTAATCAAGCTGCAGATTCACTTCTGTACAAAATAAATGGCCTTTTAATACCTTCCTTTGTTAGGAGTCCTGCAAAATGCCTCATCTGAGAGAATACTATGAACGTGCCTTGAGAGAGTTTGGTTCAACAGATTCTGGTAAGGGGGTGTTATTTATATGTTCATTCATTCAGTTCTGCCTCTTTTATTTCCAGCCATTTCAAAAGGCAGCTGTTTGTTCTGCCCTTGCGATTGCTGTCATGCAGAATGGAACCTATTTCTCCTGTGCCATGAAGTGCATGACACTCTGCAGCAACCCTTCACTTTCAGTTCACAGTGGGATGGCTTCATTAGAACTGGGAGCAAGTAAGGTTTTGACACTGGCTGGCATAAGAAATGTGCATGACCTTTAATTTGTATTTGTGAACAGTGTGGAGCTATGTTTTTATAATCAAGATTTCTGCTGTATTCCTTTTAAGACAGTAAACAGCTCAGTTATTGCTGTTATTTCTTAAGACATCACTGTTCCAGCTGGGAACAGTCTGGCTTTTGATTCTTAAGGGGCAAGGAGTTGTAGTTTTACAAAGTAAACTTCATTTCATTAAAATCATGGACACTTGCAAAAAGAGTTTCTAGGATAGGTTTCGTATTTTCCAATTGAAATCTAAACAGAACTTTTATTTTTCTTTTAAAGATCTCTGGCTGGATTATATCAAAGAGGAGCTAAGTCATCCCCAAGGCAAACCAGAAAACTCTGGGAGCATTCACTGGCGAGCTATGAAGATGTTGCAGGGAGACCTGGTGGAAGACTTTGTTTCCAAATACACTTTATTGCAAACTGGACATTTATGAAAAACTGTAACTGGTTACAACATGATTGTGGATTTTTTTCCTAACTTTTTTGTACAAAAGTAAATATGCCCTTGGATCATATTAAAGTGTATCTTCTTTACATTCTTGCATATGTGGAAAAAACTATGCCCCATTGCAGTTAGCTAGTGTTGCTTCTGCCAGGGGCAAGTTCAAGTGCCCAGTTAGAGGAGAAAGCAAAGGTGTCTCTGAGGGTGTTCTTCACTGAGGTTTTTGAGAGCAAACTCTTCCTCCTGCCTAAACATTCAGATAGTATAGTCATAGCGCATCGCTTTTTACTCTGGAGAGCTAATACTATAGCACATCAATGCAAGAACAAAGAACCCAACCATGGAAAGTACACCTGTGGGAGATGTTGGTAACACACCAAGATCTAAATTGAATAGTGAAAAGTGGGATGCTGGAGAATCTGTAAAATGATGGGATTTATTTATTGTTTCCTAGCTTTGAATTAATCTGTAATCCTCTCTTAAACAAACAACCTCTGAAACCACCTTGCTGTAATTCATAAACTATGAAATGTAGAGGTAAGCTGAGATCTGATTAAAATGTCCCTGATGTGACAGTAGAAAGCTCTGATCTATGCTTGAACTTTCCGCCCACAATGCCTGAAAAGTAGGTAACAGGTTTTTAAGACAGTACTGTCCTTGGCTGTTTGAAGAGTCACATTTTCTCATCTCAGACCCGTTAAATCAGCTTAAATGCTATCAGACCAACAGCATGCCTAGGGAAAGTAGACGAACATGCAGCATTTATTTGATTTCCCAGTGACTGAATGGTGATGTAATGACAATACAGAAATATTTTAAAATTTCTCACACAAGCAGAACCTGCAGCTCCTCACAAGCAATTAATTTCAGTAACTTTTGACTAGCTGGAAACAAGGGTTGGAGTAAAAGCCTGCTAGATGTCAAGGAAGTAGCAATCTTAAGTATGTCCTGCTTTGTCTTTCCCAAGCTTTTAGCCAGCCACCTTCAGTCTCCCAGCTAGTTCTCAGCTGTGCATTGTGCTTTCCCCACTGTCTGGCCTTTACTGTGTTATTCCCGTCCCTGAATTGCTTGTCTTGCTTCTTCAGTTGCACAACAAAAACTTTTAAGTGCAAAGTATTGGTTTGGGGAATTGGTGATTGTGGGTTTTTTTGTGTGTGAGTGTGGGTTGTTTCATTTTTGGGGGTAGGGGGGTGCAAACTCCTCTGTTTCTGAAAGTAGGCCTTTTTTCTTTATCTGTTCTGGCTCTTTACAGAACTTTGCCACTCAGTTCCCTGCCTGCACACCTCTCAGCAATGCACATTTCCTAAAAGCACAGTGAGGGACGGCTGTTCAGGATGCACCCACCAGGTCTGTGCAGTACAGATGGTTCCCATGTCCCCATGCTTTCTCTGAGCATGCTTCTAGCATGAGGCCTGAAGAATATTGTTATCTTTTGGCAAGATTAAGAAGACACAGAGCCTGGAGGGGCATTGGTTTTATTTACAACTTTATGAATGTAAAGGTATTTTCTTACATGTCTGTATTTCTCTGCCTTTTTTCTCCAGTTGTTTGAATTGTTTCTGCCCTTAAGTCAGGCTTTTCCTGTCTTACTGGAGAAAATTTCCAGTAGCAATGAAAGAAGTTACACATTATGCATTAAAAAAAGACAGCGGTGGTCCCCGCATGTCCGTCAGGCGCGCAAGGCTCAGGGACGCAGGAGGCCGCGGCGCTGGCCGCACCGAGGCTGAAGCGGGAAAAGCCG